AAAGTCTTCACAGTGACTGCCACACTGGTTGTATTAACTTGCACAACAGTGAATAAGGGTTCCTTTCTTTCTAAGTCTCTTCCCACAGATGTTGTTGGATTTCTTCATGATAGCCATTTGACTGGGGAGTAGTTCACAGTAGTTCATAGCAGGGGACAGGAAGAACTGAATGCAAAGATGGAAAGAGGATATAATGCTAATTATTTATATAGTTTTAAGTCTTGTTGAAATAGGAGCGGCGGGGCTGCGTCCCCGGCACCTGGCCGCCCGCATGGCTAGTTTATACCCAGAAATAATTACACGGAAACCGTATTCTTTCAAACACTGCCTGGCCCGGCTAGGTCCAGTTTCTTATTGGCTAGCTCTTACATATTGTTCTAACCCATTTCTAATATTCTGTGTAGCCCATGAGTTGGCTTACCAGAGAGGATCTTAACCTGCGTCTGTCTGGAGCGGGAGAATCATGGCGACTCCTCACTAAGCTTCTTTTTCCCAGCATTCTCCTCTGTTTTCTCCACCCACCTAAGGGTGGGCCTTATCAAGGGGCCTAGGCAGTTTCTTTATTAATAAGAAATCACTCCCACATCATTTCCCCTTTTTCTGTTTAAACAAGTTTGTCACCCCAAGTCACAGTTCTTATAAAACTTCTTTTTTGGTATAGAGAGATTGCCTAGCAGTTAAAAGTTCCTGCTGTTCTTCCAGAGGACCTGGGTTCAACGACAGCATCCTCATCTCAGTTCACAATTGTCAGTAACTCCAATTCCAGGGGATCTGATGCTGCCTTCGTGCCTCCACAGGCATTACATGCACATGGTACACAGACATACATGTAGGTGAAACACCCATACACATAAAACAATAACACATAAATCATTATATCTATAAATAAATACAAATGATAATATAAAATAATATTAAAAGGAAGATCACCTATATGATTCACAAAATTTCCAAATCTTCCCATAAAGGATAAACTTACTTTGTAAATCATAACTTCATGTTAGGGGCTGCAAGTGCGAGACTCTGAGTTCTTTCCCCAGCATGGTTTCTATACTAATTACTTTCCTGTGAGTTTGGGCAAGTGCAGAAGTGGCTTAAGGGGGAAGGTTTTAGGGGGTGCCACCCATCATGTTAGGAATGCTAACATGGCAAGGGTACTCCATTTGCTTAGATGGGAGCTTGTGGCTGTGGATTCTCATGTCCTAATGGATCAGGATGCAGAGATAGATAGGGACTGCAAGTGGGTGTAACCCTCATATGCCAACCCTCTAGTGACTAGGCACTGCATCCCAAAGGTTTCAAAATGTCACACAATAGCACTGTCATTTAGAGACCAAGCTCAGATACCCAAGCCTAGGGTAATCCATTAGCATATCCTCAACAGACATACTGTTTGTAAGATGTCTTTTTAAAACACAATGAAACAAAACCTTGCTGCTTAAAACTGACAAATTATAGCAACCAAAATTGACTTTAATAAGATACTTACATCTGTAAAAATTCTTCAGAGCCACATACTCTTAGAAGATACTCATTGGGGAAAAGCTGCTCATTTGCACATAAAAGCAGAATTTCAGCAATTAGGTCTTTGACAAGATAATTAGCTGGAAAAAAGTGAAGAATGAAAGTGAGTAGAGCTTCTGAAACATTGACTGTGAAGCTTTTGAGCTCAAAACCTGATAATCTCATTATGAAGCATTGTAGACACCAAGGGGGATTAAAGTACAACACATTTATTTGTCTATTTATTAGGTTCATGGTTATTTTAGATAAAGGGTGCTTGCAATCATTTTTAAGTTCAGTTTTGTCTGAGTGGAAAATGTCAACGCTAGTTATTGTATTTCTCACACATAATGGTTTGATCCATTATGGCTCTACACAAAAGATATTCTTAGGAGGCTAGACAGCTGGTTCTGCAGTTAAGAGCACCGGCTGCTCTTCCAGAGGACACAAGTTCAATTCTCAGCACCTACACGGCAGTTCCCAATTGTCTATAACTCCTATTCTAGGAGATTCGAGGTTGTGTTTTCTCTCCACGGGCACCAGATGCATGCACAGTAATAAACAAACATGCAAAACATCCATATACATAATAAAAAATAAAAGAAACTTAAAAAAAATAAAAAGATAGGTTTGGGGCAGGAATGGTGGCTCAGCGGTATGGAGAACTTTCTGCCTTAGCCTGAACCCAAGTTTGGTTCTCATCCCCCACATCTGGAACATCACAAACACATGTAACTTCATTTCTAGGGGTGATGGTGACCCCTTCTAGCCTCAGACAGCACTGCACATACATGTTGCAGGTACATACACTTTTGCCCACATATATAAACATAAAAGTAAAATAAACATAAATGTTTTTTAAAAATAATATGCTATTGACTTGATATTAAGATAATTTTACTACCATAAAAATGTGGTTCTCTGTTTTATGCTAAATCATGGATATAATACAGATTTTATTTTTTTAGTAGATTTACATAAACATGTTCTTCAACTAATGGGGCTCAGCTTCCTTATCAAAAAGTTTGTAATGGCATAGTCTCTGCCCTTTGCGACTCTGACATTTGGATGATGTAAACAAAATAGATCAATGTAGTCAATATATTTTAAATGTTTCATGCTCCGCATTTTTAGTGTGAGTCAATGAACTTTCAGTGTGAGGCAATCACCAAAAGCAGGCAGTGCTGACTCTTGAAAATACTCAGCCAGTAAGAATTTTTAGTAGAAAATTTTAAATGTCCAACCGCATTTTCCAGTGGAATTTTGTCATTTTGTCTGAAATACTGTTTACTTAACTGTGGTTTATTTTATAATTGTATCTCTTCTTCTTCTTCTTCTTCTTCTTCTTCTTCTTCTTCTTCTTCTTCTTCTTCTTCTTCTTCTTCTTCTTCTTCTTCTTCTTCTCCTCCTTCTTTCTCCTCCTCCTCCTCCTCCTCTTCCTCCTCTTCCTCTTTTTCCTCTTCTTCTCCTTCTCCTCCCCCACCTTCTCCTCCTTCTCTTCCACCACCACCTCCTTCTGCTCTTCTTCTTATTCCTCTTCTTTCTTCCTCTTCTTCCTCTCCCTCGTCCTCCTCGTCCTCCTCCTCATCCTTGTCCTCTCCTGCTCCTCCTCCTCTTTCTCCTCTTTTTCTTCTTCCTCTTCTTCCTCCTCCTTGTCATCTTTTCCTTTGCTTTTTCCTTTTATTCTTGTTGGGAAAACAGGGTAACGGAGTCATATAATTGGTGTTATTGCCATAAAACTGAGACATGCTACATTTAAAATTTAGATTTTTATGGCAGATCAAGGTGTCATTAAAGAAAGTGTTATAGAAAATAATTATAGAGGTCATGAGGGAAGGGCAGATGGCCACACATTGTCCTGGCAGAGGGTACTTAATAATATTATGGAATGGGAATATTGAAAGCATGGTATGGATTAAAGTTAGCTCAAAACGAGGCCACTGACAAAATTCTTGGCAAAGGACTCTGGTAAACAACAGAAAGAATCTCCAAAGACACCTCAGTTTGACTTTCTTGGTGTCAGGGCTGCAGGTGCTGAGCTACATGAAGCATATACAGATTATTACTTAGTTACAAATATTCTCTTAATGCTTATGTAAAACTGCATAGCTCACTATCTATCTTCTTTCTCCCCTACTTTAGTTTTATTGGAGCAGAAGAGTCTAAGATTTACTATGAGTCAAGACAGGCCTTAAAGTTTCATCACGGGAAGCTTACACGTGGAAAGGTAATGGATGGTTAGTACAATATTTGTAAGTGTTTTGCCTAGCTGTGGGGTGAGGAAACCTAGCTTCTATTGTCAGGTCTGTAGGAAGACTACAAGAAGAGAAAGTTCCAAAGAGGACTGGTCCCAAAGAACTTCTGAATTCCTTCAGTTCCAAGCAATTAGTTACCCAGAGTGTGGAGCTTCGAAAAAACGATTACTGAGCTCCTGTGAAGTGATGTCTCCTGTCACCTGTTGCTTGTGGCCTGTTGGATGTCTCATATTTAGTGTACCTGAACCTGAAGCCACCATCTTTATCCTTAAGCCTTTAGATCGTCAAGTGACGTTCCTCATTCACATATTGTCAATAAACACATACCAGGGCTGCCTTTAAGTAGATTTATACCTGTATTTTTTGTAGCCCTTGATAGAATCATTCTTTTCATTTCATGCCATCTCTCACTTCATGCAGCTCCTCTCATTCTTTACCCCTTAATTCTTTACCCCTTAAGCAAATGGACTCAGAATCTGTGTTGATTAGATCAAAATGCAGCACCATTGGCTGGAGAAACATAATCCTGCTTTTTAATATTGTGAGCTCTATGTAAAAGAGAGATGAACTGACTGTAGGTCATTGGACAAACAGTGTGTATGCTTGAATGCTTGGCCTTTTTTCTTGTTTTGGAGAAACAAGGCAATGAGTGAATCAGCAGAGAACAAGTTGTGGGAAACAGTGACACAGAGAGACCAGCTTGGGGCTTTAAGTGATTTCTGAGTTTCGGCGTTTGTGCTTCAAATTAACCCCTAAGTCTTTGACACATTCCTACTCTTAAACTCTATAAGAAACGCTTATATTGTTTAAAAATGGTTTCTTTTCTGCTTCAGTCAGCATGAGTTGGTTTAAAGCCAGATTCTTAACTGGTATAGCAACACACCAGGTCTCTGTCTGTATCCTCTGCGCTTACTCAAGCCTCAGCTAGAGCAAGGAGGAAGACAGTACAAACATTAAACAGTGAAAACACTTCCTAGTCCACTGTGTATCTGAAAATGTTTGCCCATTGTTGAGTAATAACCCATGTAGTCACAGCTGGATGTTTAGTAAGCATCCATTGCTCTGCTAAATAAAAGACCAACCAACAAACAAAAAACAAAAACCCGAAACCAAAACCAAAAAAAAAAAAAAAAAAAAAAAGCATTCTATATAACTTTAAAGAAAGCGTCAAGTAATAGAAAAGAAAATGCTTAGTAAAAATGATATAATGTTGCTGGATCCTAGGTTAGGTTGATCCTGAATTTCCTGAGAAACCACCATACTGATTTCCAAAGTGGTTGCACAAGTTTGCATTCCCATCAGCAATGGATGAGTGTTCCCCTTACAAGGTCCAAATGAGGAGCAGAAGGAGAGAGAAGATGAGCAAGGAAGTCAGGACCGCAAGGGGTGTGCCCACCCACTGTGATGGCAGGGCTGATCTAATGGGAATTCACCAAGGCCAGCTGGACTGGGACTGATGGAGTATGTGATCAAACCGGACTCTCTGAACATGACGGACAATGAGGGCTGACTGAGAAGCCAAGGACAATGGCACTGGATTTTGATCCTACTGCATGTACTGTCTTTGTGGGAAGCTAGTCTGTTTGCATGCACACCTTTCTAGACCTGGATGGAGGGGGGAGGACCTTGGACTTCCCACAGGGCAGGGAACCCTGGCTGCTCTTTGGACTGGAGAGAGTGGGGGAGGGGGTGGAGGGATGGGGAGGGAAATGGGAGGAGGGGAGGAGGTGAAAATTTTTAATAATAATAACAAAAAAGAATATAAAATGATATAATATAAACTTCTTGGAACCATAGCCAGAGGCTCCTTCTTAGTCAACTGTATTGATAACAGGGTTAGCGTATGCGGCACAGAGCTCTTAAATTTCTCACGGTAGGGGCAGTCGCCATCTCACTTCCTTTCTCACAATTTATTCACCCACCTGAACAAAGTACTTGTTCCTGCTGGGTAGGAAATGACATTTTCACTTATATATCATCTTCATCTGGAAAGCTTTAGAAATTCCATCTATTTTAATCGTGCCAAAAATTTGCTCCACCTGCTATTATAAATTGCAAGGAAACAAAGATTTCTGGAGCGCTATGTAAAGAGACTCCCTGTTAACAAGTCAGATGTCTTCAATGAATTGCTCATGGCTGATTTCCTGTTACTTCCCTTCAGGGTAAGACAGTACCAAATGGTGGTTCCTTTAGTGATTTCAGGGCGTCTACTGATACGGAGATTTGTGTGTCTGCTTGTGAGTTTTCTTACCTTGTGGCAGAAGATGAAGCGTCTGTGCCGCATTAATAGAAACATTTACTCTAAACTTGGTGCCCTTGAAGAGTTGGGATGGGTAAACCGTAGTGATTGCCCAGATCTTTCCAGAATTGGAATTAACATCACTTGCACTATATGATTCTCTTATTCTGCAAAGTATACACAAAGAAAAAAAAGGGCATAGGACATCATCTATATCATTTCATTATTTCTTTTGAAAACTACCACCCAATTAAAAAGAACCACAGCAGGATCTGTAACCCTGAAAACCAAGAAGCAGCCACCTTCCCTCTGTGGCATGGTACATGTACTCAAGCTGGCATGGTAGAAATTACAACCAAGAACAAGGACAGAGGCATCCCTAGGCTTCTTGGGAATGTTCCAATTAAAATTATTAAGAATATGCTTTCTAACAGGAGACAGGAGGATCCATCCAGTGCAGGGTGACTTATTTCTGACTTTGGCCCTGATGCCATGGCTCCTCCCTCAGATCACGCACATGCCTAGTTCTGTAAAGCATTAAGTACACTTTGGATCTTGATTCTTTTGTTGTTGTCTAATCTATAACGTCCCTGTTTCTCTAAATTCTTTAAAGCTGTGGATTTTACAAAAACAATCGAGATATGAGTGCATGTTGAAAAATTAGCAAACATTGGAGTCAAAGAATTGCTAAAAAGTTAATGCTTGGAACAGTCTGAATTTGAATTCTCATGCTACTGCTTTGGAATCTTGGAGTCAGAGACACACTGTTTGACTTGCCTCTTTGTACACACCAAAGGAGCTGTTACCACCTACTTCAAAGGCTTTGTGTGAGGGTTAAACAGGAAAGATATAATGGATTTACAGACTCTGAAGCCATGTAAAGCATCATAATGATCAAACTGTATTGCCATGACGGGTCCCTGTGGGCCCATGTTTAATGCCATATGTAGAACACACTACAAAGATGCCAACAAATACAAAATACTTCCCCTGGTGAAACAAAATCTTGCTGGTATTTATTTGTGTTGGTTTTCCTGACATCCAAACACTTCATAAATGGAAAAATATGATTCTATATTAATTTTGAATCCTTCATACTTGGCTCATGTAAAATATTCTCCATGGTTTCACATGCCCATGTGTTTGAACACTTGGTCCCCAGATTGTATTGCACTTTATAGAAATAGAGGAACTTTTAAGATGTTGATTCCAGCTAGAAGAAGTGTGTCAGTGTGGGGTGGGCCTTGAGGTGTATAGCACAGTGATGCTGCCTGTCTTCTCTCTGCTTCAGATATTAGCACTTATATAACAAGATACTGTTCAGTGCATGAACAATTTCAGGTTCTTTCATTGGGAGCAGTTAAATTTAAAGTGCAAACTCATGATTGATTCTTCCCTAACCTTTGCAGGGCATTCAGTGTGAACTGGGACTTCTTTTTTTGTATTATGGAATTATACTATGTTTCATAATCATGTGGTATTTCTTTTTAAATGAGATTTGAAAAATTATGTCAAAACAATCCAATCAAGAAATTAAGAATATCTTCAACAGGTGCATAAATGAATGCTAATAACATTTAACTAACCTTATTTAATTATTAGAAAGATAAATACAATAAGATATTCAGATCTATTTCATTGTGGGTTGGGAGAATGTCTTGTGAAACTTGGTCTTCATATTTCAAATTGATTTTCTTCTTTCCTTGTTTAATTTTGAATTGAGAATTCAAAGCACTGAGTGAATTCTAACAGATATTATTAAGGGAATACTGTGCTTAGATTGGAAATCATTATGCACACAGACACTTAGCTACAGATGCAATCATTCATATCTCTTCACTACACCAACCATACCATGTGGTTGGTTGCTTTAGTGCTCATGATTACTTAAAAAGAAATCAATGGGGAAAAGTGCTTTTTAAGAGTTTGGAACACACAGCACAAGTCACTGGCAAAATCACTAAGACACGTCCCTGTCACTGTAGCATCCACATTTTATCATCTAAGAATAACCACATGCTAGAAAATGAAAGCATTGTTGGAGTTTATAAACGCTCCCTTCAGTGGCTCATTAAGATAGCTGTTGCTCACACTATGTAGGTAGGAATTACCAAATTACAGCTTTTGAAGACTTGTTTTTATTAAAAATTTTAAATTATGTGTATATGCACATCTCTATACGTGGGCGTTGTAATTTATTTTAAAATGGTGGGAAGAAGTCATGCCATGCAGCAAGGCTCACATAGGAGGTTTATTGGAAGAGGAGGGGGAAGGGGCAGAGAAGGGGACAGAGAGAGGGGTAAGAGAGGGAGCCAGAGACCTGACCCTGGAAACAAGAATGATGGAAGAGAAAGAGAGAGAAGAAGAGAGAGAGAGGGAGAGAGAGAGAGAGAGAGAGAGAGAGAGAGAGAGAGAGAGAGAGAGAGAGAGAAGGTGGGCAAGGCCAACCTTTTGAAAGAGAAGGTAGCAGATTGCACAGGGGGTGCTCTCTTAGTGGATGCTGCTGAGCACATATCCTGTCAGGACCCCAAGGACAGGCCAATACGGATGACCGAATACTAACATTGGGTATGTGCAGGTACAAATGGGTACATAAGAGTGCATCAGATTCCCTGGAGCAGGAACGACAGGTGGTTGTGAGCCACCAGATGTGGGTGCTAGAAGTCATACTTGGGCCCTCTGAAAAAGTAGCAAATGCTCTTAACTGCTGAGCTTTATTTTAGTAATGAAAGTATCAGTATTTTTGTCTTTAATGATTCCAATTCAAGAATCTAATGGATCCTTTAGATTTTTACTTCATAAATTAGCAAGAAATTAATGAAATTTGAACATTTATACAGTTTTGCATCTATGTTTTATATTTGCATTATATATATATTTGCATGCATGTGTGTGTTTGTGTGTGTGTGTGTGTGTGTGTGAGCATGTCTTCCAATGTCGTTGTCAATGATATATTTTGTTTGGTTTTGGTTTTAGCTATCTCTAAGATTATTTTTTATTTTAAAATATCAACTTATATAAATAAATGAAGAAATTTTAGGAACAGAAGTATCCTTTAAATTAGTTAGTGGTTCAAATCTTTAATCTACTTTTATCACTTAGTAGGAAGCCAAACCTTTAAAGAAATATGTATTTCCGCCGGGCGATGGTGGCGCACACCTTTAATCCCAGCACTCGGGAGGCAGAGGCAGGCGGATCTCTTTGAGTTCAAGACCAGCCTGGTCTACAGAGCTAGTTCCAGGACAGGCTCCAAAGCTACAGAGAAACCCTGTCTCGAAAAACCAAAAAAAAAAAAAAAGTATTTCTTTTATTTAAGACAAAATTTTCAAATAAATAAAAATCAAGAGGACTAAAGAAAATGTATTAAATTTTCAGAGGCACAGAAAAATTCCCTCTAGATAAGTGGCAACAACATGAAAAAAGCAATCACCTTTGTATCATAATGTTAATGTTTACATTGGCAAGGAGATCAAGGACATTGCTGGAATTCTCTGGAGAGCAATGATATTTTCAGTGGAGAAATATGTATGTGCTGGTTCATTATCATGGCATCTCCCTTGAGAGAAGGCTCAGCTGCTGGAAGGCACTCACATGAACAGAATGTCCCTCGTGGGAGGTGAACCTGTGACAATTTAGGCCTGAGCTACAAGGCTCAAATGCCCCAAATATTTATGTCGTGAATATGACATGAGCCTTAAATACACTGCAAATAAAACTACCAATGAACAGAAGGAGTTCTGATAGAGAAAGTATCTTTCAATCAAAATTTCAATGGGGAAGTGCACTTGTTGAGTGGAAAAAGAAAAGCCAATCATCAAGACAATCAATGATAGTTTGTGAAAAACTGTTTTATTGTATTAGCAAGCTGCAGGGATTTTGCATTTTGCATGCAGAACTAATTACTGAGTGGACTGAAAATTAGAGACATTTATTTAGACACAAAACTTCAAAGCTTATTAAAAGAGCAATACTCACTTTCTTACTTTGTCACAAAATGAGGCCAGGCTCTTGCTACTCCCTTGAGATATTTCAACTATTTGAATGGGACAACCAACTGTCTGGAAGTAAAAAATTGTTAAATTAATATAGCTCAACATAGAGATAATATCAACATGTTTGTGTAATTTTATTATCTTCCAAAGATCAGTTTAGATTTAATTTTATCTTTTGAATTCTATTGAAGAAATATTTACATATAGAAATTATATAGAACTTAGGTATACAATTTTAGTTTTCAAGAATGCATACATCAGTATTATCAATAACTAAGGAAATATTGAACAATGTTGTCTTCTTTTGGTGGGTACAGCATTTATTTAATAGGTTATAGAGGGGAAACAGAAAGGGGAAGGGGAGAAGGGGGAAGAGAGAGAGGCAGAGAAAGAGGGGGGAAAAAGAGCGGGGACAATACTGTCTTCTTAAAAGTTTCCCCATATCTCTGTTAGATTATGCTACCCACACATTTGTAATTACCAACAGTTAGAATTCTAAATTACTTACAAATGCTTTTTTTTTTTTTTGGTGTCTGCTACTAACTGATGTATCTTTTGTAAACATCTTCCCATTGTCATCTACCAGTAGTCCATTTGTTGCGGGAGGTCCTTCTGCTCCTCCAGCCTATAGTCGCTGAGATACCAGCCCATTGGGGCATGGTCTCTCTCCCTTTAAAAAAGTGGCCACTTCCCTCTCCTCTCTCTCTTCACTTCCTGCTCCGCTGGCAACTAGACTCCCTTCCTGGTTGCACAGAGGGCTGTTGTCTGGGACTGTGATCTGTAAGTTTTTTCCCTTTTAAATAAATACCACCCGATTAATCATAATTCCAAACTGGTGTGGCATTGTTTGTGACCTACGCCGTCATCCATTGTTTAAACCACTGAGCATTGGCATGCTATTGTGTAACTATCCCATCATTCCTTTGGTCCCTTTCCTCCTGGTAGTCTTTTGAATTGTTGATAGCTTTTTGAAACTATGAAGAAATCATTATTCCGTGTCTTAGTGCCTCTGCTGCCATATGTTTAATATGTTCATTATATATGAATTAAACTTTCAGTTAGAGGGTGCATATGTGTCTGCTTTTAAATTACTTTGCCTTATATATTTGGAAGCTCTATTATCAACTGTGTACACATTAAATTTATTATCTCCTTCTGATGGACTCCTTTGCCATTACAACATGGTTTCTTTTAACTCTAGCAATACTGTCTTAAATCATATTTCTGGTATTAGAAACACAACAATCATCTTTTTCAGGCTGAGAGTTAAACCCTTGGATATTTTCCTTTTTAATCTATCTGTCAAGGTAATATTTTTCTAACAGCAATTATGCCTTTATGTTCTTTAAATCTAGTATATTATTTTCTGTTTATTGTTTGGACTTTTCAGTGTATGTGTATTTAATATACTTATGAAAATTATTTTATTTCAGGTCATCATGTTTACATGCTTTAATGTGTGTTTTTAATTTTACCTTTTCTTTTTCTCTTATTCTATTTATTTAATTTTCTATTTATCTCTTGGTTTAATATAATTTCATTAGTAAATTATCCCACTGTCTTGGCTACCAATATCTCTGACTCCACTTGTCTCTGACTCCCACTGTCTCCAACTCCCACTGCCTCTGTCCTGTGACTCTGGCTCACACTAACTCGACTCCCAGTCTCTGACTCACAGTAACTGGCTCCCACTGCCTCTGTCCAGTGACTCTGACTCATATGGCCTCTGAATCCCACTGCCTCTGGTTCCCTTTGTCTCTAGTTCCACTGTCTCTGACTCCCACCCCTCTGATGAGAAGTTTTACTCCATCAGATGGTTGCCACACTCCCTGAAATCTCTTTCCAACTCCTTGTAAAACTCTTCTCTCATTTTGACTTTAAATATTTGAATGTCATTTGCCTATATTTGGATGATTTTGCATTTATTTGCAATTTATTGCTTCCTTGACTCTATAATTAGTTATTTTCAACTAACTTGAGAAATTTTCTCAATATTATCTCAAGTCTTCCAAATAACAACCCCACACTTATCCAAGACATAATAAATCCCCAGAGACTTCTGAACCCACCCACTGCATAGCTTCCTCTTTGAAGACACAACATCCAACAAATCCAAGCTGCTTCTGAAACCTGCACCTGACTGCCCAGCTTTGCTCTTTAACTCCACCAGACTACACAGCTGCAAGGAGCTGCCCTTCAGGCACAGACTCAGCTACTGGCAGCTCTTAGGGACTCTGTGTATTGTCCTGACTGTTGTCCAAAGCCCGAATTCAGCAGCTTTTATACCTTTGTCTAATGTTCACAATATTTATAACAGTAGGGAAATTTTGATGTGGGCTGTTCTTCTATATATCTGGTGGTTTTATTGATTGATGGATAAAGCTTTTTTGGACAATGGTTTAGCAGAGCAAAGCCATGTGGGAAATCTGAACAGAGATATAGAGAGTAGGCAGTGTCAGGGAGATACCATGTAGCTGCCAAAAGAGACAGACACCAGAACCTTACTCGATAAGCCACAGCCTTGTGGTGATACACAGATTACTAGAAATGGGTTAATTTAATATGTATGAGTTAATAAAAAGCCTGTGCTAATAGGCTGAACAGTTGTAATTAATACAGTTTCTGTGTGATTTTTCAGGGCTGGGAAATGAAAGAGCAGTCTCCTTTTATAAAATATACTGATTACTGTACTGTCATGATAAGAATTAGATATTCTTAAGATATACTCAGTTTTCATTCAGATAAGTTAAGATGGCATTTCTTATGCAATGACCTTCTTGCAGAATTAGGTATTCTTTCATTCATATCTATTGTTTTACCCTGTTGCCATTTGTTTATCAGCAAGTCAGTTTGAGTCACATCTCCAAATTCAAGAAATCTGTTATTAACCTAAATTCTTTCTGTTCAACATATCAAAGTATTGTCCAAGGTATTACTTAATAAAACTTTTTGGTTCCTCCTATATATTGTAACTACCCTAAATTCTTTCTGTTCAACATATCAAAGTATTGTCCAAGGTATTACTTAATAAAACTTTTTGGTTCCTCCTATATATTGTAACTACAGAGGTTTCTCCCCCACTTCCTTCTTCTGTGTGCCTGTGGGTGTATATGTATGTGTGCATATGTATGTATGTTTGCATATATATTTGCATGTATAAGTGTGTGTGTATGTGTATGTATGAGTGTGTATATATTTGTAGGTATGAGTGTGCATGGATGTATGTTTTTATGTATGATTGTGTTTTTGTGTATGATCATGTGTGTATGAGTGTGTTTTGTGTATGATCATATGTGTATGAGTGTGTGTTTGTGTGTGTGTGTGTGTGTGTAGGACAGAGACAGATGTTAGGTGATTTCCTCCATCAGTTCTTCACCTCCTTTATTGATGGTCAGTCACTGAACCTGTAAGTCATGTATCTGGCTTGACTGGATGACTAGACATCTAGAGATCTGCCTTTCTCTGCCTCTGCAGTACAGGGATTGTAGACTCATGCCACCATGCCTAGCTTTTTATGTGGTTGCTGGGGATCTCAAGTCCTCAAGTTTATGTGCCATCTATCTACCCTCCTCTTTCTTCTTTCTTGTGGTCTACTTTGGGATTTATTGTTGTCTAAATAATATAAGCAGAGAAGTCTTTAAACACGATACAAGGACTCTATGGTTATTGTAGTGACCATAAAGTAACCAAAGAAAGGATTAGCATCAATTTCACAGTAATGACTTCATTTTCTACTTTTGTCTGGTTCCTAAGCAACTTTCCTGCCAGTCAAATAATTTAGGGTCTTTTGTGTATAAGAACATTTCCCTCTGCAGATAAAGATAATAAGATTTTAAATCATCATAGTGAGACTCAAATGATAAATGCGATGAAATGTATGTGTACTTTCATAAAATAGGAAGAATAGGTAAATGTCATCATCTAAACTTCAAGCTATATTTTATCCATTAAAATTTATCATTTACAGATTATTTATTTATTAAATACATATCAGTGTTCTGTCTGCATATACACCTGCATGCCTGAAGAGGGCATCAGAGTCTATTATAGATGGTTACAGCAACGGGTTCTGTAAATTAAACTCAGGACCTCTAGAATAGCAGTCAGTGTTCTTAACCACTGAGCCATCTCTCTAGTCCCCCTGCTAAAAAGTACTAGTATATGCTAATATAACATACTATCATAGGCTGTACTAATATAACATATTAAAAAGTTTGTTGAAGTGGGAACTTGAAAAATGAAAGTTAAGTATACTTTTTATTACAATAATTTTTAATTAAAAGCATGGAATTTTTTTGTTTGTTTGTTTTATTTATTTTTTTTAAATTTCATGTTTTTTTTTAAATTAATTTATTTATTTATTAAAGATTTCTGTCTCTTCCCCACCGCCGCCTCCCCTTTCCCTCCCCCTCCCCCAATCAAATCCCCCTCCCTCGTCAGCCCAAAAAGCAATCATGGTTCTCTGCCCTGTGGGAAGTCCAAGGACCACCCACCTCCATCCAGGTCTAGTAAGGTGAGCATCCACGAAACTGCCTAGGCTCCCACAAAACCAATAGGTCCAGTAGAATCAAAAACCCATTGCCATTGTTCTTGAGGTCTCAGTAGTCCTCCTTGTCCACTATGTTCACCGAGACCAGTTTTGACCCAGGCTTTTTCAGACCCAGGCCAGCTGGCCTTGGTGAGTTCCTGATAGAACATCCCCATTGTCTCAGTGTATGGGTGCACCCCTCGCGGTCCTGAGTTCCTTGCTTGTGCTCTCTCTCCTTCTGCTCCTGATTTGGACCTTGAGATTTCAGTCCGGTGCTCCAATGTGAGAGAGGCCTTATCACACAACAAAAGTATATACTCTACTATGTTTATAGCAGCATTGTTTGTAATAGCCAGAACCTGGAAACAACCTAGATGCCCTTCAATTGAAGAATGGATGAAGAAAGTATGGAATATATACATATTAGAGTACTACTCAGCAGTAAAAAACAAGGACTTCTTGAAGTTTGCAGGCAAATGGATGGAAATAGAAAACACCATCCTGAGTGAGGTAAGCCAGACCCAAAAAGAGGAACATGGGATGTTCTCACTCATATTTGGTTTCTAGCCATAAATGACATGAACCTATAATTCGGGTTCTTAGAGAAGCTAAATAAGAAGGAGAACCCAAAGAAAATCATATAGGCATCCTCCTGAATATTAACCTTCCTTCATCAGGCGATGAAAGGAGACAGAAGCATAGAATTTTTGAAATAAATAAAATGTTGTAAATAATACTAATAGATTTTCCTACTTGAGATTATTATCAATTAATCCAATCCTTTCCTGAGCAATTGTTTCCATGTTCATGTGTTTTGCACATACCTCCACATTTTCCAGCGATGTGCTCTCCCATGACCCGGGTAGAAAGGGGTCGTTAGGGGACATCAGAGAAGGTTCCACGAGGCTCACATCTCCATTTCCTTTGTTGTCTCTATTGAGTATGGAGTCCATTGAGTATAGTGAAAAATGAGGGTGGACGCTGCTTTCAAGTTCTCTATGGCAGTTATGATGTTCATTTCCTGGTTGTCTTTGTAAATTATGATTATCCAGGCCGGTAGATGATTGAGTTAGTGTATTAAACCTGGGATCCTTAGCACTGTGATATGTTTCTGTGGGATTTCTCCAGGAGTCTCCCTCATCTGTGATCTGATGAGTAGATAATACAGTGGGATTAAAACCAATGGCTGATGTTTTTCCATACTGAAAGTGGGAGAAGTCAGGGTTCTGAGAAGTGAATTCATTCAAGTGTCTTGGGTGTGCTCCATGGATGGATTGACATTTTGAAGCCAAGTTTGGTGTACCTAGCATGAAAAGGGGGCTTTCTTCTTTGTCACTCTCACACAGTGGGTTTTTATTCTTGATCTCTTCCACTAGCTCATCAAAGCCCAGTTTGACCTGGTGGGAAGAAAGGCACTGATTTGCATGGCGAAAGTATTGTTGATCATATCCATCTTCCTGTGGGTCAATGTCATTTGGGTCTCTTGGCCAATTATATGCCATTTTTGATTTTGTGCAACTGAGAGGATTTTCTTGATCCCAAATATCTCCTTGATATTATAAAGGAAGTTAAAAAAATTTCCTAGATAAAAGGAAACAAAACTGTCTTTAGTTACAAAGTCACTTACAGGAAAGAAACATGTTGAATAAATATACAAATGCTTGGATTGTTCATTTGGCTGGTGAGAGACTTTCTCGAGTACTGACATAGTCCATGAGGACCAATGCATGGGGAATTTGAAGAAGATTATTGACTTTGGCTTGACTCATAATATTTGTTTGAGAGAAAACCAAGTCTACCTTAATTCTGGTGTGCTTCTCTTTAAACATTACTTTGCATGTATGTGCACCACTTGAGGACCTGGTACTGAGGATGTAAGAAGAGGGCAACAGGATCCACAGAACTTGAGTTACAGATAGTTGTGAGCAACCATGTGGGAACTGAGAACTAAACCACAGTCTTCTGCAAAGGCACAGCCAGTGATTCTCACCCTTTAGCCATTCCTCCTCCCTCATGCTTCTTTAGTCCCTACAAAACCCACCTTCCTCCTGAACTTGGCTGCTTTTTTGAGACCAGTGATTCCTCAGCCATTCAGCTTTCTATGTGAATGCTAGCATGTTAATGCCTAGTGGTAGCTAAACTGTCTTTTCATTATTAACCATTATCCCATTCCTCTGAGCAGTCTTAATTCCCTCCCACTCTGACACTGGTTACCAATCATCTTACAATAGGTAGCTAGAGACTTTCCACTCCAAAACTCCTTTAATTTAAGTAATTGCAAATTCTTTGGTTCACTTATCTAGAACTACTTCCATTAAACTCATTAATGAGTTTCGTTCCATTAAAGTTAAGAGATTTTGCTCTTTTGAAAAAGCTCTGGTTCTGTGCAGCATTTGGTATGCACTTTCCATCCTTCCTTTGCAGTGCCTTGCTGATATTTTGGCTTGCTACAGAGAACCACACTCTAAATTTCTCCTATTTGTTATTTCTCAAATATTACTTTGTCTGTTCATTATTTTCTCCTTGATCTTTTTCGTTGTTTATTTTCTCCTGAGTTATTGTTTCACAGTAGGTTCCTTCATTCTGTTTATGTTCTAGACATTTATTTCACATTTAGCTTTGTATATGTGTGTCTGTGGGTGGGTATGTGTGAGGGTATATGTAGAGGACAGAAAAGAACATCATATCCCCTACAGCTGAAGGTGCAGGCACTCTTGAGCCACCTGGCCCTAGGGACTAAACCTGAGCTTTGGAAAGGGCAACAAACACTCTAAGTCACTGAGATATCTCAGCAGCCCTATTCTGTGGTTTCAATTATCATCCATGTCCCGTAACTTCACGAAGGACTACTGACCTTGTTTGGTGTTTCCACTCAATCTATTTTTACTATGGTATCATTCACATAAAGTCTAAAAATGCTCATACTACTTGGTAGTATTAAAAAGTCAGGATAATTAATTTGTCTGTTTTGGGCCTGTTGTTACTCATGTTCACCTGTTATGCCTAAATAGACTACTAGGAAGAATCACTTTTTAACTTCCTAACTTGGTAAAATTTAAAATTCATTAGAACCCGTCCAACACAAATCTGTCAGGTATAGCAATGTTTAGTTAAGATGGCAGTGATGACTTTTACCAGTGTGCTAGTTTTGTCTTCGGCTACATTTTCATTATAAAATGAATTGATTTAGCTAATAAATTACCTAAGATTCAATTCACATTCCATTGTTCTCTATGGTGCAAAAATGTCCCCATCCCCTACCCAGTCTTTAAACCAGACACCGAAGTTTGGTGGTTGAATCTCCTCTCTCCTTTATTCTTCTATATTCGATATCCAGAGATCCACCAGTTAGTTTTTCAAATGAACACATCTTGAGTCCACTGTCTATTGTATACCACTCCTCACTTCTAAGTCAAAATCCACTGATATACATCATCTCCTGTATACCTCTCCCCACTGCACCACCTGAAATCACCAGCTCCCACCTGAAATACATAACTCTCAAACTGCTTCTGTATTTTCTGCAACCCATTTTGGTCCTCATTTTCTTTCACATCATAACGCTTTATTTCAAACACTGACTGCATATTTCCATGGTTACAGATTTTTCAGTGGTTTTTCCACATTATTTTAAGTCCCTACATGACCTGGCTCTGCACTCATTCTCTGCTCACATTATGTCATCAATTGCCCTCTTATGCAGTACACATGGCAGCCTCCAGAACCCTGGGATGGATTGGTTTTTATTGCTCTTGATGGTATTTCTCTGGGTTAGTCACCTTCCTGACTGGACTGGTCTTTCTCACTATAGTTATTAATCAAGGCTTAGTTGAACTGAACTGTGTGTGTATGTATATCTCATCTGACTCTTTAATCCACACAACTATTCAATTCACAGAGGTATTCTTTAATCATCCAAGATTATAGGCATGAGGCACCATGTTTATATTATTTCTTCCAAAGGGAACAAAAATCCAGACTGGATTAGGTTACAGTGCATCTTCTACATTTTTTCTTCTCTTCTGTTATGTATCGCACTTTTAATGGTATTTAACACTTCCCTTTTCAGCACTACCACCAGTTCTTTTATTTTTTCATTTATCACTCAGTACCGAGCATGTTTCTTTACTGAAAGCCATGCTAATTTGTATTGGTTAGTGTATTGATTTGGTGAATTTAGAAAAAAAAATACAGAATCAAGATATACAAGAATGAAAATGAAAGGAGCTTGGGATTCATTCCTTTTTACCAGGTACATATGGTATGCTTTTGAGAGCTGGCATCTAGGTCTTCTCAGCTGAGAGATTTCCTTGGATGTGCTAACTGATGGGACACCCCCCACACTTAGAGTGGGGCCATCCCATAAATGGATTATCAGACTATATAACTGGAGGGAGGTAGTCAACAAGCAACACCCACTTACCCTTCTCTATTTCTTCTTGTGGATGCTCTGTGACATGTGGCTTTAAGGGTCTGTCGCCTTGTCTTACTCATCATGCTGAACTGACTTTGAACTGTGAGCTAAGACCAACTCGATACTCTGTCAATCTTTTATAAAATGGGAAATTGCTCTCATTTTATTTGTTTTAAAGGTTTTTTTGAAAATCATTTAATTAATAATTTATATTGATAATACTCTACACACTCACAAGTGATTGAATTGATAGATTTGGGAAGATTTTCAACAGATTTTTTACAAAGAACACTGAGTATAATAGTACACAGAAAAGTTTAAAAGTTTGTGTAGGGTTGAAGAAATGTCTCAGCAGTTGAGAGTACTGGCAATTCTTGTAGAAGACCAAGCTTCCGTTCCCAGGACCCCCTAACAGCTCACAACTGTCTACAGTTTCCGTTCCAGGGTTTCTGATGCCTTTTTTGGTCTCCACAGGCACTGGATTCACATTATACACAGATCTACAAGCGGGGAAATCCTCATAGAAGTAAGAAGAAAATAATAAAATGCCAATAAGTATCAAAATATTACTTAAATTTTTCTAAAATTTGAGTACATAGACATATATCCTCCTTTCAAGAACTGACATTTTAAAAACTTACTTTTTCATTTTAGTGACAACTGTGTTTCATTTCAATATAGTGCATTTTTTATATTTCTCTGTCATAAAGTCAGAATTTTTAAGCAGTTGACTTTTGACTTCACCAGCCTAACCCACAGGTCTTTCCTAACGGATGACCCATTCTTCCTGATTCTATGGGGAGAACTGAGGCAATGGTAACTCTGTATAACTGTTCATCTCATTTTGGCAGAGGTCAGACTTACAGAGGACTAATTACCTGGGCTCCAGACTTACCTGGGCTAAAAGTTAAATCAAAGTCAAAATAAGCTCCTTTAAGGCAAGAGCAGCCCTGACTGCCGTCATTATCCTCCATATAAAAAGGTGACATCATTAGCTAAACAGCTCCAGTGATTAGAGTATGAACATAAATGATAAAAAAAAGACCTTTCTAAACATGTCAGTTCTTGGCCCCAAATCTGTGTGTTCTTGTTACTTAAAAGGACAACACTTAGAAGACATGCTGAGTCTAAGTAATGGGTTAGGTAAAGATGATCTTGGGTTCACACAAACTCTATACATAGAAAACAGATCCGTTTTTTAGATTGCATATATATAGAAGATAAAGCAGATGAAGATTATATGAGCACGGAGCACAGCAAAGGTACCTAAGCTAATCCATCTGCACTTTCAGAACGGTGCAGGGAAATATGTAACCATCACAGCTAAAGTGGTTTCTGCGAAGACTTTGAGATGGAGGATTGATTGGCAGCCCTGGAGCCCTTTATCTGCCACACTAAGCTTGTGCAGGTAACAGTGGATGCAAACACAATCTTCAGACTTTAACCTTACAGAGCTCTCATCTTCAATGCAATCTGGTGTATGTCATCTATCTTTGTAATATAGTATAGGTTTACAGTGTTCTTAATATTTGTACAGCATGTATGTTCTTTATAGCATTCTACTTTTAACTTCTAATTAGAAACTGAGTAATACAGTCAAAATTGCAAACTCCCCTACTATTTTCACCTAAGTGAAGGCAAAGGTAATCAGATTAATAACAGTTTCTGCTGTTATTTTCACAAATCATACATTTCCTTGATCATGGTTGGTCCTATAGAAACCTCACTTACTTTTTGACTCCCTAAAGCTTCTCATGTCTGATGATTGAGACCTCTCACTCTTTTGGAAAGATAATGACTTGACCCAAAGCAATTTATATCTTTACACATGTGTACCAGGCTTTTTCTTTTGGGTTGCCAACCAGCTCCCAAATCATGACACAGAGACTTATTATTAGTTTTAAAAGATTGGCATAGCTTAGGCACATTTTTGACTAGTGATTTTAACTTATAACTATAACTCTTTATCTCCTTTTGCCTCATGGATTATTACCTCTCTTCATTATATCTTACTTCCACTGCTTCTTTATGTCTGTCTGTCTGGTGGCTGGCATCTGCCTGGCTTCTTGCCTTGGGTGTGTTCCTTTTTCTCTTCTCCTTTTTCTTTTGTTCCTCCCTTTGCTCTCCAGTCTAGATTTCTCCTCCCTATTTATTCTCTCTGCCCACC